CTGGCCTGGAGGAAAATTGCTTCCTGTCCTCCATGATGAACCTGTCCTCCATGCATTTATCTAATCGTCTTTTAAAGCTATCAACACTTGTGGCCATCACGACATATCTGCTTAATAATTCTGTCCTGAGTAACTTTCTACTGAATACCTGGGGCAGATGTTAGACTAACTGGCCTGCCATTTCCTGGTTCCCCGCTGGACTCCTTTTTAAAAAGCTGGTACAACGTTTGCTACTCTCCAGTCCCCTGGTATAGAGGATGGTTTTAGCAACAGGTTACATATAATTAGGAGCTGCGGTGGCTCAAGTGGTTAAGACGCTGAACTGCAGGCTGTGGAAGGTCGGTAGTTCAGCAGTTTGAGACCCGAGTGTGTCGCATGACGGAGTGAGCTCCCGTCTCTGGTTCCAGCTCCTGCCAACCTAGCAGTTCGAAAGCAAGAAATTGCAAGTAGATAAATAGGTACCCCTTCAGTGGGAAGGTAACAGCGTTCTGTGCGCCTTGGTGTTTAGCCATGCCGGCCACATGATCACGGAAATGTCTTCGGACAGCGCTGGCTCTTTGGCTTTGAAAAGGAGATGAGCACCGCAACCCTAGAGTCGGATTCGACTGGCTTTCGAGCAATGGAACCTTTACCTTTTTTTAACATATAATTAATGGTTTCCCACGTGGCACCCACTGTGAAAGACAGAAGGCTGTCCCTCCCCCCCCCCCAAAGGGAAAACACCACCCACTTGAGTCTATGGGAGGAGTGCTGCTCCAACATCCAATCACCTTTGAGAAAGGAGGGTGGAATGTTGGAGGGAGAGCACAGCAGGAGTGGAGCTGAGTTCTGCCTCAGGGAGGAAGCCCAGAGAGCTCAGGTCTGGCTCTGGAGAAGAGCTGACAGACTGAAGGGTAGCTCTGCTTAGTAGTGTGGCAGAGTGGTTTGGCTCTGCTTCTGACAGAGAATAAAATCATAGAATCAAAGAGTTGGAAGGGACCGCCAGGGTCATCTAGTCCAATCCCCTGCACAAGGCAGGAAATTCACAAATACCTTCCCCTTCCATACCCACAGTGACCGCTATTCCACACCCAGAAGATGACAGAAAACCTCCAGGATCCCTGGCAATGTTCCCTCTAAGCTGTGGAGTCTTGTGAGCAAAAATTCTACTTTGTGAACTCTTGGCATTCAAGTTGTGAGCGAGCGATTTGGCTACTGCAGAAATTAATTTGCTCTGGAGCCATCCTTCCTGAGCTAAGATTAAAATGTGTGAG